CTGGCGGCCGTCGCAACCGGTTGCTTCGGCCGCCCCGGGGAAGGGAGCGGGCCTCCACGTCGCTGGGGCTCGCCGGGCGCTGTCACCCGACCCCGCGCAGAGCCGCTCCGGGGCCCGACCGCTCGGCAGGTCCGTGGCCTTTGCGGTTTCTGTTCTTGAAGTCTGGTTTTGGATGCCGACAAGGAGGCAGTGGAGGGGCGAACAGTTGTCCTGGGAGCGAGGCCTGCGCCGTGCGGATCCGAAACGCCTGGTGAGAACAGACACACGTTCCCGCGGAAAGGATGTGCGTTAAGTTTTTCCCGAGGCGTCTGCTCTTCGCGTGGGGTCTCCAACTACCCCGTCGAGCCCCGGCCGGCGCCCTCGTTGCAGCGCGCTTGGAGCAGGGCGGGACCTGCGGCCCGAAGATGGGCTCTTGTTTGGCGGGGGCTGTTCCCGGCGGGTCTCTCGAAGCCGTGCGGGTAAAGGTTGTGAGAGAGGTTGTGCGGTATTACTTAGCAGCGATGTGTTTTTGAGGACCAAGTAGCACACGAAAGAGATTTTGAAAGGAAATAGGTGGATTGTAGCCGTGATCTGCATATACTTTTTCCCTGAGCCACCTTTGTTAGATACCGTACATAACTTTATTGCTTCTGAAGTTAAATGCCCGAACATGTTACTGTTAGCTTGCCAACTGTCTTGAGTGGATGGAGGAAGATGAATGTCTTCACGCCTGGACCTTCGGGGCCTGTTAATTGGTGTTTTGAGGCACATATTGACTCCTTTTAGGCCACGGATAGATTCAGAGTTGAGATTTGTTTGCATTTTCAGAAAAGTAACGGCCTGGTGGAAATGGGAGTGGCCTGAGATCCGGAAACGTGTGTTACTGCCATTGTCGTTGGCTGGCGGCCTTATCTTGGGTACTTTCTTACCCTCTTTATGTAGATTTGATTTACCTTATTTGTAAAATTAGGATGAATAGATCATCTTTGTGAGTGCTTTCTGTTCCAAAATTTGGCGACGTTTTTTCTTTAAATGAATTAATTTTAAAAGTCTGTTTTGAAACCTTCTATGTAAGAGTATGCACCTTTATAAAAATACATTTTAAAAAAGTCGGTAGATAGGATAATTTTATGTAATTTGAACAAGATATTTAATAGTGGCTCAGTGTGCTTAAGAAATTACTTTTTGTTTTGAGACGGTTTCATTTTGTAGTTCAGGCTGGTCTTGAACTACTATGTAGCTCAGGTTGGCCTTGAACTCCAAGTGATCCTCCTATCAGCTTCTTGAGTGCTGGGATTACAGGCTTGTGCCACCACACCCGGCGAGTTTAATGATTTTTTTTTTTTTTTGGTGATACTCAGAATCGAACTCAGGACTGCGCTTGCCAAGCAGGTGCATGTGCCTCTGAGCTATATCCCCTGCCCTAGTTTAATGATTTTTAAAAAGGTGAATGTCTATGCACTGATAACCGTACTCAGCTCAAGGTATAGAACATTTTCAGGCCCCTAAAGAGGTCTCTTTGGGCCCCTTCAACTCATTAAACCCCTTGCCCCTTCAGCACGGCAACTACTGTTCTGATTTCTGTCATCACAGGTAAGTTTTGCCCGAAACGGAACCCTTTAGAGGGTTAAAGGCAGCAATATTAATAATTAAGCTGTAGGACAGCAGGTATGTAAACTTTGAGTTATGGTGATTTTATGAGTTAGATTTATTGGTACCTGGAATAACTTAAAATGCTGACCTGAGAGTGTCAGTCGTGGTGTTTTTTGTTTTTATTTAGCTGAGGCAGTTCTTTGCAGGTTCGGGTCTGTGGTTCTTAGGAGTCCTTACGTGCAGTCTGTTCAGGCACAGTATTATTCTATCACTACTCATTTGTGGGATCGAGTGTATTTGTAGAGAGTAAGTTTGAAGGATGAATCGTGAACTTTCACAGCAAGATATATATATGAATATTATCTACCTGGTGAAATCTCCAAAAACAAAAGGCAACTGAAAATTAGGCAAGTTCAGATTTTTGAAAAATATCACATGATATTAGCCCTCTATCTAAGAAGGTAGGATTTTTTTTTTTTTAAATTACCTATTGAAGCACGTGCTGCAACAATTTGCTTATTCTTCCCAAATGTTTTTTAATGTATCCTTGTGCCTTTCCTTGTTTCTACTGCTAAAGAAAAGGGGTTAGATTTTGTAAGTGAATTCTTCGTTAGTTTCTAACAAAGGCCTGTGTTTCTTACTGCAAGGACATTCTCTAATTCCTATGTTAGGGGATAGTCCACAAAGCTCAAAAGTTTTCTTTTGTGAAATGATTTCACCTAGTATAGTAAGTATATATTCCTGTGTCTAAGTTAACTAGCCAATTCATGGGCCAGCTATTTTTTTTTTTTTTTTTTTGGTGGGGCAGAGCTGTTTATCCAGGTGAGGACAGCGGAGATAAGACATTGTCCTGTGGCCGGTGAGGCAGCGCAGCTGCAGGTCTCAGTCGGGTCCTGAGCACTGGGGCCACGTGGTGTTCTGGGGCTCGCTGCCCCAGAACAGTGTTTGCTGAGAGAGTATTGTACTTAATGATTTAGC